TGCAGAGGTGATCTCAGTGTGTGTGCGTACTGATCGTGTGATGGATTTGCTGTTGGATATTTTCTATGAAAATGTCAAATCTTCTAGGGCAGTGAATACACGACTGCTTCCGTCGGGCCTGAATTTCATACCTCTACTTTATTTAATTTCGGATTTATTTCATGTTAAAATCTTAATTATTTGATAATTTTTCAACAATCTAGAAGATTGAGAACCCGCCTATCGCCCTGACGCAAATGGTTCCCTCTCCCCTAGCGGTAAAAGCCCCCGGAAACGGCCGGCCTCTGCACTCGGGCGAGAGCACAGAGCTTCTGCTCAGACGAAGAAGGTTGCCCAAAATAAATAACAATATCGAGAATATAGTAGCACAAAACCCCGTTATAATTATCTCTCTATTTCTTTTTCTTTTCTTTCTCTCACTGTTTCTTTCTCTCTTTTATTTTCTCTATACTTCCGTTCACAGAGAGAGGGAGAGAGGATTAGAGGAATAAAAAGAGATTTTAAGAGAGAACTGTTATATTTTTGAGAGGGTGATTAAAGGGGGGTTTTATAGGAAAAGAGGAAGATAGGCGGTTACAAGATTGGAGGATTAAACAAAAAGGAGGAGAAAGAATTAGTCAACGGTTTGAGAGAATTATGGGATAGAGGGGTTAGTCGGAGATAAATGTGTTTAGAAAAAGTCAATTTGACCTTTTCATAGAAAATATCCAACATATGTTTGCAGTATAGTTGCTAGGCAAATTAAATGCTTGCAGGAAATATTTTAAAGTTTTTATATACTGTTAAGAAACAAAAACTTATTGAGTGAACCGATTCAAGTTTTCTTGGATTAGTTGGTGTCTAAGGCAATGTTTAGGAGTTGCGTAATGCGCTCTGTAAGGAACGAGGTACTTAATTGATCTTTGATCAACTTCTATTACTATCCTTACCTGGCTAACTATCCGGGTAAAACTTTAATCTTTTCACTTTAGGAGTTTTTGATTTGGAATAAGAGGACCGGAATTATGTGAAAATTCATATGCATTTATTTAATTACGCTTCTTGCATCATATATTGCCTAATGATAAATGATCAATATATAAGCGAACCAAATCAAAGAGGTGCATTTTTTAAAATTCTATTTTATATGGTGGATTATATTTCAAATCTTCAAATGTAAAGTTCATCACTTTTATTGCATTTTGATGAATATTGCAATAAAGTTCATCACTTTTATTGCATTTTGATGAATATTGCAATAAATGTTCATATGTCTTTTTAGATAACTTGTATTTGTTACATGATTAATTTTAATGTTTTATGCAAGAATGCACTTGAAAAAATTTAAAGCACGTATGTACAATTATTATTATTATTATTATTTGTATAAGAGGTGGTACTAGAAAATGACAGTATAAATTTGGAAGGTCTTCTTTGTAGACAAACAATTTAAATTTGGAAGGTCTCATTTGTAGGCAACCGATTTAAATTTGGACGGTCTCCTTTGTAGGCAACCAATTTGTAACCTCTTATAATAGAATAATTTAAAAATTTTATGCATTTGAATTATGAAGTATGAAATATATTTTAAGATACGAAAATATATTTTAAGATACGAAATCCTATTATGCTCTGCATGTATCTATTATTAATTTCATTCATGTATGTGCATATGCATAACTGCAGAATTTTTAGTTCCACATTAGTTTGAAATGTTCAGATATTAAGGTCAATCTCTTCAGACATAGACTATGATCTTTTATGATCATAGATCATGACCTAATGTCAATTTCAAACAATATGATGGACTAATTACAAAATAAGAACTTGATAAATAAATACAACGCCTGCTAGGCAAAGTTATGATTCTAGACTTTGTAAAGTCTGTGAAAAGAATCTTGATGACCCTTTGACTAAGGGATTATCCAGGAGTGTGGTTCTGGATTCATCGAGGGAGATGGGGTTAAGCCCATAGATGAGGTCACTGACAGCGGCAACCCAACCCTTATTTGGAGACGTAGTCCCAATGTCGGTTCAATGTGGTAGAAACAAGCTGGACTAGTGACTCTCGTGTGGAGCATCGACCTAGATATATTTATATATCATTATGTAGCATTTGCTACTACCCCTTCTCTATGGTGACGATGCTCTTATGATACAGCTGGCTAGGCTGAGTTTTACTCTTAATAAGTCCAACGCGTGTATTGTGGGGGGTATTAAATAAACAGCTGTAGTACCCTTTGAGGACTTACCTACGTGAGAGGAACCGTGATGGCCGCGGTTAGGGGGGGTTGGGCTAACCCCTAGAAACTCTCATGAGTCGGTTTATTGTGAGCATGGCCTTTAACGCTCAACCCGCTTTGCTCAAGAGATGAAGCGTATTGTGTGTGTTTTCATCAATACCTGATTAAAGGGGCCTAATTCAATGCCTAGTTCATTATGTCCCTCAGGTGGCGATGAACTCACTAAGGAAAGGTTCAAAGCCGGAAGCTACCTCTCCCGAATTCACGATACGTAAGGTTGCCCAACCTATATTTGTTTTATGATTTCTTGATTTATTAATTGATTTCTGAGTTTTCAGTCAATATTACATTTTGGGGGGGACTGTTGGATATTTTCTATGAAAAGGTCAAATTGACTTTTTCTAAACACATTTATCTCCGACTAACCCCTCTATCCCATAATTCTCTCAAACTGTTGACTAATTCTTTCTCCTCCTTTTTGTTTAATCCTCCAATCTTGTAACCGCCTATCTTCCTCTTTTCCTATAAAAACCCCCCTTAATCACCCTCTCAAAAATATAACAGTTCTCTCTTAAAATCTCTTTTTATTCCTCTAATCCTCTCTCCCTCTCTCTCTGTGAACGGAAGTATAGAGAAAATAAAAGAGAGAAAGAAACAGTGAGAGAAAGAAAAGAAAAAGAAATAGAGAGATAATTATAACGGGGTTTTGTGCTACTATATTCTCGATATTGTTATTTATTTTGGGCAACCTTCTTCGTCTGAGCAGAAGCTCTGTGCTCTCGCCCGAGTGCAGAGGCCGGCCGTTTCCGGAGGCTTTTACCGCTAGGGGGGAGGGAACCATTTGCGCCAGGGCGATAGGCGGGTTCTCAATCTTCTAGGGCAGTGAATACACGACTGCTCCCGTCAGGCCTGAATTTCATACCTCTACTTTATTTAATTTCGGATTTATTTCATGTTAAAATCTTAATTATTTGATAATTTTCCAACATTTGCAGCCCCTCAAAAGTAACAAATCACATGCAGTAGGGATGGCATGTGTGGCCAGGATGCTGATCATTGAGGTTGGTGCTTCCCTGTTGAGGCTTATCATGAGTCACATGTACAGTGTCTGCATACTTAACTAACTACAGTTGATCTTATTAATGTTCTATGCCTTTACTGACTTTCTTAATTACCTTTCTTTGGCATTTAGTTGCTGTGTTATTTGTAACATGTACTTAAATTTCAGATTATCAGCTCTTGATCTTTTTTTTTTGCACCTGCCATTTGTTTTCTAATTTGAATGGATCCCTGTCATAGTGTCACTGGGCGAAGTAGCTCTACCCTGACCATAGTTGAGCATGATATTTTACTCCCAAGACATATCACACATGATGCTTTTACATGTTATGGAGCTGGTATTTAACTATTATTTGGTCTCTTTAGTAAGCATAGCATATGCTACCAAATTGCTTGCATCAAATTTCGACCAAAAAAAAAAAAGTTCAATGGAATCATTAAGCATCTAGACACAGCTGTGGGTCAGTTGGACTTGACATAATGTTAACCTAGCAACTCAGGGGTTCATTAAGCATCTAGACACAGCTGTGGGTCAGTTGGACTTGACATAATGTTAACCTAGCAACTCAGGGGTTGTGAGAATGACATGTATTATGAGTGGGTCAGTTGGACTTGACATAATGTTAACCTAGCAACTCAGGGGTTGTGAGAATGACATGTATTATGAGAGTGCTCTACTTAGTACCAAATTTTATATTTTGTAATACCGCTATTAATCTTATGATCCTATGTACATAAGAAAGGTATATCAGGATGGATGTGGAAAGAGCTCAATGACTTTGAAGATCAAGAAAAACTAAGTTAGGTGTGTGCCTGCTGATGTGGCCCCTGATGCTAAGAAAGTGCATAGGACTTTGCTGCGCCTCAGGTTATATAGGTGAAAGTCAAATAAATTATCAGATGTTGCACGACGACAGTTGTTTTAGGTGTAGCTACCCACTAGGTTCCTTTAGTGATCGATCCGTTCTTCCAAAAGTTGCATTATACCTTTGGATTGATCCAAGTTGGTAACCATGTGTATGTGGTCATTCATGTGAATTGTTTCGGAAAAGGGTTTGCTAGGATTGTCATTCTTAACCGAACAGAGACTTGAATCCGGGTGTGTGTGTGTGTGTTTTAGGCGTAGCTAACCACTAGGAATAGGAATCATTGGAATGGCTACCTTGACTGTTTGTTTGGATACCGAAATGAAAGAAACTTCATAACTTCTTAAGTTGTATTTTAAATAATTCGTTTAAATTATTATGCAGAACATATAGTATCATCTCGAATAATATATATTTTCACCATTTAATTGTTGAGATTAAAAAAGTGGGAAATTAGTATGTAATAATTTCCATAGAAAATTTATGGTACTACATATATGTCAGAATCAGTTATGGGAAAAGTTGTTGGAGCTTACAAATCCACGATTGGTGGTCACAGTACAAGTGCCACTTATTTTTTGTTTACTTTCACTTATTTGTTGTGGAATAACTGGAGATTCTACTCATTGAGCAAAGAAAGGAAAAATTGTGTGGTGCTCGCCACTACCGAGGATTGGAGGGAATCGAGGGAGATAAATTAGATTAATCATAAGTTCAAAATTCGGTGAAGATCCTCAAGTTTAGTTGAATCAAAGTGTTAATAGCTGCGATCATCTTTTTAGATTACTTCAATAATATCTTCCACCGAAAGGTAAAATTAACTTATTTAGAATTTCTTTTAGTTGGTGTGAGCGTCTAAAAATGCCTATAGGTGTCCGCACACAGCTCGAGACAGAGAGAAGATGACGAACGTCGTTATCCGAGTCTAAGAGGATTATCTGACGCCGACAAGCGCATGAAGCGAAACGGCGAACCGAATGGCCCGCGCGCTCGACCATCAATTC